TCAATCCTTTGGTAAAAATGTCGGTCAATTATGCTTCACTTGAGCAATGCCTTACTTCAAGTTCACCTTTATTCACCTTCTCCCTTAAGAAGTAAAATCTAGCTTCGATATGGTTACTTATTCCATGCAAAACTGGATTCTTTGCCAGATTTATGGTTGATTTGTTGTCGATCTGCAGTACCAGAGGTTTCTTCACTTTGACCTCAATCTCTTCAAGCACAGATCTGATCCTAATTGCTTGACACACAACATATGATCCTAATATATTTTCAGCCTCACATGATAACAATGGCACCACAGGTTTCTTTCTCAAGTACCATGAGATTGGGGCACCAAATACTTGAAATAAATATCCAGTAGTGCTTCTTCGATCTTCCTTATCTCCACACTAATCAGCATCTGAATAATAAGTAACCATAGCTTCTTGGCTTTCAGAGTCTCATCGAAATAAAATTCCATTGTTTACCAATCCTTTTAAGTATCTCAGGATTCTTCTTGCAGCTTTCATGTGTGACACCCTTGGTTCACGCATATATCTGATCACTAATACGACTGAAAAACATATATCAGGTCGACTGTTGCACACCTATCTCAGAGATCTGACAATTTGTTTGAACAAAGTCGCATCGACTTTGTCTTCCTCTCCATGCTTCTCCAACTTCAAATTTGGTTTGATAGGCGAAGATGCAGGAATCGAATCATTCATTCTGAACCTCTTGAGTATCTCTTTGTCATACTTTCTTTGATGTAGCACCATACCTTGCTTCGACATTTAAAATTCCATGCTTAGAAAATACGACAACTTTCCCAGATCTGACACTTCAAATTCCTTTTTCATCAGCTCATTGAACTTTGACAAGTTCTCCAAGCTACTTTCAGTTACTAACAAGTCATCGACATATAAGCAGATGATTGTTATATATTGTGCCACAACCTAAACATAGACACCATACTCAGATTTGCATTTCACGAATCCTAATTCGACCAATTATGATTTGATCTTCTTGTTCCATGCCCTAGGTGTCTGCTTGAGACCATAAAGCGCTTTATGCAACTTGTATACTTTCCTTGCTTCCTCCTATATCACAAACCAAGGAGGTTTTGTGACATACATCTCTTCATCTAAAGGACCATTCAAAAATGCCGATCTCATATCTAAGTGAAATGTCGACCAGCCTTGATTGCATGCCAAGGCTGCCACTAGTCGAACAGTTTCCAATCTTGTGACAGGTGCAAATACTTTAGAATAGTTGAGTCCTGCTCTATGAATAAATCCTCGTGCTACCAATCTCGCCTTATGTCTTGTTATCGAACCATTAGCATTGTGTTTCAACTTGAACATCCATTTCACTTCGATAGCTTTTTTATGTATTGACAATTCGACCAACTCCCATGCATTGTTTCTTTTGATTGCTTGTAACTCTTTAATCATAACATACTTCCATTGTTTATCTTTGAAGGCTTCGTTATAGTTTATTGGTTCAGCATCTGTAAGTAAAGCACAATGAACTAGGTATACATTTGTTGTGACTTCATCATCACCAACTACTTCATAGTCTTGAAGTCTTATTGGACGAGCTCTAGTTCTTTGAGGTCTTTGGCTTGTTCTAGTCATATCCTCTTAGACTTCGACTGGTTCGGGTATGTCAGCAATAGCTTCAACTTTAACTGGAATATCGATAATATCTTCGACTTCGACATCATTACTTGCTTCGTTGAAATCATAGATCATCAATGTCTTGTCAATTGCATTACTAGAATTCCAATCCCAGACAGGATTTTCATCAATCACAATATCTCGACTCATCACAATCTTCTGATTAATTGGATGGAACAGCCTGTATGCTCTAGTCTTATGATATCCTACCATAATCATATGTTCACTCTTATTATCAAGTTTCCTTCTCCTAACATCAGGAATATGCTTGTAGCAAATAGAGTCAAACACCTTCAGATGACTCACTGATGGTCGTTTCCCACTCCACACTTCTTCAAGAACCTTGTTATTCAGCTTCTTGGTAGGGCACATGTTCAGAATATAAACAGCAGTCAAAACTATTTCACCCCATAAGGATTTTGGCAAATTCTTCTGCTTCAGCATGCATCTCGCCGTGTCTAATATGACCATGCTTCTTCTTTCTGCTATTCCATTATGTTGAGGAGTATAAGGAGCACTTATCTCATGGTCAATACCATTTTCTGCACATAATGCTTCAAATATATTGGATGTGTATTCGCCAGCTCCATCTGTTCGCAGAACTTTGATCTTCTTTTCACCCTGATTTTTGACATGTATCTTGAATCTCTTAAAGATTTCAAATACTTCATCCTTTCGTTTGATCACATAGATCCAAAGCTTTCAATTGTACTCATTGACAAATGAGACGAAATACTTGTTTCCACCATTGGTATGCTCTTCAAAAGAATCGCATACATCTTCAAGTATACAGCTCATTGGCATAGTCGAAACCAAAGACTTCCTAGACTGCTTTACGACTAGACAAGTATGCAGGATGGTCCTATTCATGTTTGACCTTGCTCTTCTTCGACTCGTCAAAATCTACTAACCATACTTTTCGACCAATCATGTCATCCAAGCAGTCTGAGTCGAGGAACCATGTCTTAGAATCGACATGGTCATCTGCAATTGTATCCATAACCACCATATCATCAAAATCATCTGAATCTTGACGTGCAAGGTTTGCTCCTTCGTCCTTACCTTTTGTTGATCCCTTATCTTTCCTGTACCATCAATGCTTAGCCAAGTGGCCTCATTTTTCACAGTTATAGCATTGCACGCCTTTTTCTCTATTTTGTCTTTCTGATAGGAATTTCCTTCTCCTCATTTCGAGGATTCAGAAGTTCTAGCATCGATCTTATTCTTGTGAGGGTTCGACCAAGACTTCTTGCCCTGAGTCTTGTCGATTTTACCTTTGAACTTGTTGAAGCCACCATTCTTCTTCCATGACTGAGTTTGTAGTGCTTGTATCGAGTCTTGAACTCCTTTTCTTTCGACAATCCTAATCTCATGCGCCTACAATAAACCAACCAAATCTTCCAATTTTAAGGTTTCAAGATTGTTGAATTCTTGAATAACTACGATAACGTGATCAAAGTGAGAGGTCAGTGCATGCGTTACCTTCTCAACTATCATCTTATCAATTAGGATTTCACCACAACCCTTCATGAGATGGACGATTTTTTGCACCTTCGACACACAGCCTGCAATCTTTTCGTCTTCTCCCATTGACAGCAATTTATATTGTCGTCGCAAAGTTTGCAACTTTACAACCTTAACTTTCCCGCCTCCTTCATAGTACTTGATAAGAATATCCCATGCCTCCTTCTCTGATTCAGCATGAGCGATTCTGTCGAAATTAGTCGCATCAACTGCTGATTGGATGTAAAACGCCGCCTTGCAATCCTTCTTCTTGACATCCTTGTGAGCGGTTCTCTGTGCGTCGGTTGCATCTTCACCAAGCGCAGGAACACCGTTAATAACTACTTTTAGGGTTTCATGAAAGCCAAATAGAGATTGCATCTGTTTTCTCCATCAAAGTCAATTCTTGCCGCCAAGAGTTAGAAGGGAGTTTGGTAAATTTTTGTTACCATTCATCTTTGCAACGACAGATCAACAACAGCCCACGATCCAGGAAATACGATCTCTGGCGTGTGATTCTTGAAAACATTATCAAGAATCTAACCGAAACTCTAGATATCAATTTGTTAGTGCGTGAAGCACTTTTAGTGAGGAGAGAAAGAGAGAGAATAAGAAAATAAAAATTGATATTATTAAATGAATGATAATAACTGAATTACAAAGTGTCTTATTTATATAAACCTAAGTGACTTAACTACTACGCAATAAATATAATAAACTAAGTAACAAAGTCTAAACTCTAATTAACTTTGGATTTGTGTCAGACAACTCAATTTAAATTTATATCTAATATCCGTTATTGTTTGGCTTCTGGCCAACATCATCAAAACCAATTGGGACAATGGACCATTTCAACATATGTTGGATTGCGAAAAGAGCGATACTTGGTTTTCACAAGGGACTTAATCAGATACTTTCATGGAACTTTGTGCAAAACTTTGGAAAAAATAGAAGGTTTGTATGACTCCCAGAAGGTATCCAAAATTGATTCGTAAACTAATATATTTGTCTCATATTAGATCAATACTATATCAGACATTACCTATCAAACATCTTAAGGTTGTTTACAGAACTATGAGATATCTGAGAGTCAATCCAAGAAAGGACTTATTTTATAAGAAGACTAGTAAAAGAGCTTATTTCTTCTATACAAAGTTGTAATCTTCCTATTTATATTAAGTATCGGTGAAGAATAAAATATGTAAAGGAAACACTTTTTTTCGAATCAGACTTGGTCTTCACCAATGAAAAAGAACAGTATGCAGGAAAATATCAGCAAAGCAAGATTAAAATAGGTTTGAAGAAACAGAAATAAAATATTTAGTCAAATAAACTAGTCAAACTTTTTACAAATTCTCTCACAAACACATACACGTTCTTATGTCTTTTTTAGATAAAATCAAATAAATCATGAACAAGCACTCCCAATCACACATTCATAAACTATTCTGCAAAAATCATTGAAATAAACTGAATTTTATAATACTAAAAGTTATTTTTGCAAGTATATCAAACACTAACATAAATACTTATATCATTAGATAAAACAAAAAACAAAACAATCTGAAAATGAATAATCTAAATATAACATCTTATGACAAGTGTAACATAAGCTTAGGTTCAAGAGCATGCAGGTTTTTGCTGTTTGTTGCCTGTTCATCTAGACTTACAGAAATTTTTCCTTTTCATAAATTGTATTTCTTGTGTCACCAACAATGGTTTCCTCAGCAAAATGATGACCATGGCAGACAAATGCAACATGTGTGCTTGACGCTGAGTGCTGCGTAAACAAAATTATGGATACAAACATGTTCTGGCAAATAGAAGTGTTCCCGCCGTGTCAAAAGAAGAACCACCTCCGACGATTCTGCGAGAGTAACATACATGTTAGGTAGTCACATCATCACTATATAATAATATATACATTGAGTCAGAGAGAGTGTGAGAGACCTTTTGCTTTTTTGGTTTTAATAAAATAGGCTCAGAAAGAACTTCATTGTCTATATTCTGAATGAATGGCTGCACCTTTTCTTCCAACAGCTCATTCACCTGAAGGTCAAATCAAACATCAGTCAGAACTCGGCACAAAAAGATACAAAGTTCGCAAGGAAGAAAAAGCACAAGGTATGCTAAGTACTCAAGCACAAGCAAACAAACAGAGATGAAAAGAGAAAACAAATCACCAACCTTTTCTTGACGCCATTTAGTTTCCCACTGTACATTCAATATGTTTTCAGAGATTTCTCTTTGAGCTTTGAGAAGAACAGTCATTTCCTGAAATTTTTCTGGATCTTTGAGATCCTCCTCGCCCCATGATGATGAACTCAATGGAAGGTCAAGCTCCTGTGAATTCTCTTTGGTTAGTTACATCGTCGTTTCAGAGCACTAACTAGGTTATGTGAAACTCTTGACACACTCTGATAGAAGGCCAACATAAAGTCGGTATCCTAACACACTTGGCACTTAAAATCTGAAGCATGGACTAATGTCGGTGGAATAACAAGGATCTCAACAGTTATATATTTAATATGTAAATTCTAGACGGTTGAAAAACGAAAGCATTCAACAGTACAATCATTGAAAGTGCATAATTATGCACATCACTTGATCATAGACAAATTTAAATTATCATAAAAACTAGAAAGGAATAACTAGCGAATGTGGGATGAAGATAGTGAATACATACACCCCAATTTGATGGTCTTGGTGGAGGATCAAGCTTCATGACCTCTTCCTCCAGCGCTTTCTTAGCCTTATAGTAAGGGATGTTTTTAACTATGACAGGATCCTCCCTTGCTCGGTCAGGATCTATAGATATCAAGGCCTGTGATAACAGTACGATTAAAAATTTTATTTATATATTAAAAGAAAAGCAAAATTGAGCAAGAGGGAAAACAGAATTTGAGATGCTATAATTTCAAATATATGAATAACACGAATATCAAGCATCCTAATTAAAAAATCACTTCGATTATCACAAAAATTGTAAAAAATAATCCATTTTTTATTTATCAACCAGAGCAATATCAAATGTTGCATAGCTACATTTACGCTGCTTGTATCCATGACCAAGAGCATGGCCAGCCCCGACTACAAGCAACGAAATTTAGTGCACAGTATAAGAAACTTACATCCTGCAGAAACTCCCATCCTGGTTTCCTCTTGGCCACCTCATCTCGTAGTTGATCGTACCGCCTAGATTCCTAAACTCGTTCACAAAAGAAAGACAAAATAATCAATTTATGAAGGTAAAATAAAAAGAGCTTTCAGTTAATGATTTCAAGTCAATTACCCTCCAAGTAGTTATGTACTAGCATTGATAGGTCAAAAGGGATTAATTTGAACAAGCAAAGAGGACATACAAATGGAAATACACAAAAATATCGAAACCAATAACATGAAAAATTAATACATTAATAATAGTTGAGCTGAAACTGAAAAATAGAAAGCAATGTGAACCAACAACCTTATACTCTGACCATATTGACTGCTTTGCATTATCATCATAGGTAAATCCATACATAATCTGTGGATACGTAATCAACCAAAATGCAGCAATACTGGGATCTTTCATGCTGTGCCTTATGTGCTGAAAATATCCAAAACATAAAAAAGTATTAAGAATACCGTGTCAAATAAAAGTGAGAATCTGAAGTGAAATTCATTCTAATTTCTGTCCCCGCGATATACTAGTTTGCATAACTAATGCTACCTTTATTCCTAAATATAAGACTCTCTCTCGTGTTTTTACCTTGTCCCTTTTTATAAGATCCCTTCCAAATTTTAAAGTGTATTAATTATTTTTTTACACACATGCCCCTTAATTATGTTACATCTTTTTCTACAATTTGTAATAAACATTATTATACAAAGGGGTCTTATATTTATGGATAGATCATTGGCTAAATGTGAATCTAAGAGAAATATTTTCATATTAATAGTGAGGTTAAGAAATGAAAGTATAAATGGGATCAAGGTTTGTTTTGGTGTAGTATACGAGAGGGTTCTACATTATCTTGCGAATAATAGCAATTGTTCGGATAGAATCAGGTTAGAATTTAGATTTACATTTAGACTGAGACGGTTCTACATTATCTTGACAATAATAACATTTTCTTGACTCACCTCATATGGATAATCCATCTTTTGCAAAACATTTAAAGCTTGCCACGGGGGCTCCATAATCTGATCAAACAAAGGACACATAACAATGGTAAGAATGGGTGATATTTAAGTTTCAAATATGAATCAGTAAAAATTAACAATTCAGTAAGGAAAAGAAATGGTTTCAGGGAATTAAAGAAACAACTCACACCATCTGCTGAAATCTTAAATGGTAGTTTGTTTTTGCATTCAGGACAGCCCATTACACCCTGTGCATTATCAATAAATTCTTAAACCAAAAATCACAACAGCATTGGCATGCAAAACTATTTGACCAAGCATGTTGACAGTTATTATCAATTCCAGATTCTATCTATGAAAACAACCATGTAGGGTGGAATGTTTTATGCTCATGTGATGGAATTTAGTTCATACCGTTGCATCGCAAATTGGACAGTCTTTTGATGGTAATGGTATCTGAGGATCCAACGAGGCTGGTATATGCACTAACTCAGCCCGGTTGTTGACAATGGCATCTGCAACAGACTCAGCAGTCGCTTTCTCTCCGCTAAAAGTGAAAGAATTGAAGAAGAAATATAAAGCATAGATTAGCTGGAAGAGAGAATCCGGTGAAACTATAATATAAAGTATGCTATTAGGAATCAAAATGGAGGGAATTACTAACAGAAAAACAATTCACTACACTATCTTAGCCGAAATTGATATAAATCAGATAGATGTTTTCTTATATAATTAACAGCAAACATTTCTCTGCATTTCCAAAAAAAATTAGTCCAATGTAACTTTGAGGCAACTTCTACACATGCAACGTTGAGGTAACCAAAAATGACCACAAAAGACAAAGACTGCGGAGTATTCTAAAACAGCTAAGATCTCAATTGATGAGATTAAAATCAATTGTTTTACACATTTGTGACATCATTATTAAAAATTTCAACAATAACACCAAATAAAACACAAACTGCACAGGAACAATGTCTTAAAACTCTAACTTTATCCACATGGAATGCAACTCACCTCTTCAAGGTGCAATTCTTCACTTGATAGTGCACCCTTCCACTTCCTCGACACATGGTACACCGCAAGGCCTGCCATCCATTACATGTCCCACAGTTCCTGTTCTTGATAACACATTTAGTTAGATTTCAATAACTCCAAAGCTAAACAACAACACTAAACAAATCAAAGATTAGATGCATCATGCAGTACCTTTGACATATAACCTTCCTTCCCAAATTTAATGCAATGTCATAAGTCCCCAAAGTAGCAACAGCCTACAACCAAGTCATGCAGCAGTATTCGTCAATGAATAGATATAAAGATAAAAACAACGAACCAACAATGGTGATACTTCCGGACAATGCAAATCCTGCAAATATCAAAAGAAAAATGCTAGCAACAAACTCTATAGCACTTTTTTTAATACACTCTTTATTATTCGGTAATTTCACATTGCACTAAATTTGGTGGTATCCATTTACAAATTGACGCATTCACATGAATTTCATCAAATAGTGCAATCGAGGATGCATAACCAGCATTTTTCATTTAAAAATGAATAATCCAATTTGATCAAATTACCTATGTCAAAGAGCACCAACACTTCATATTGAAGATCCGCCCATGTCAATAATCTCAGTACCGTAGTTACATTACATTCAATTATTCCATTTTTTTTAAATTATTACTAGTGTCTACATATTAGTGTATATCGTATCTGGTGTGTATGTGTTAGCATCTCTACCGTGGCGGGTGTCTGTGTCCGCACTTCATAGAAAATTATGAGGTTAAAGAAAAAAGTTCCCAAACAAGTAACACTCATTTCAATTTTCAGCATAGCAGTTGACCTTCAATATCGATATTCTCAAATACCCAAAAATTAGAAGGAAAAAAAAAACATAATTTCCACTAAAACCCACAAACCCAAAAAAGGCCACAACAAAATAACAGAATTTACTCAAAAATATATAAAATTGTAAAAGAGAAACAATTGGGAGAATAACCCACATAAGAGAAATGCAAAAAGAATTGAACTTTGAGATTAAAAGGCAAAAGGGTAAAGGGGACTAACGAAAACAGAAGCGGCGGATAGTTTAGAAGCGAGTTCAGGGACACCAAAGCCACGAGGTGCAGAACCAGCAATGTCGAATGCAAGAGTTAACGGAGTGAAGAGAATCTTAAAGGGGAAAGCAAAAATGTCACCAACGGTTTCGCCATAAGCGTTATTGAACTGCTTGTAGCGATCTCCGAAGTAATTCTTGACGAACTGGCCGAAACCAACCTTTTCTGGTTTGGGCATGGCGTGGCGCCAACAGAGTGAGAGTGAAGGAAACCAAGTGGATAGAGTTGTTGTTGAAGAAGAGGGAAGGGAGTGTAATAAATTTCCTATTTCATTTCATCAAAATTTACTCGCAAAAAATGCTTTTCTTTTTTATTATAGAAAAAAGAATTGGTTTGGCTTAATTATGTTATTTCATGATTGAATAATTATTATTTTTATGGATAAATATTTATGAGTTAAATATAGGCTTAAATAAATAAAAAGTTTATGCAGGTGGAGTTTATTTTTATTTTAGTTTTTATAAAAAGTTTTTCTTTTAAATAAATTTATAATTTAAAAAAAAAAAAACTTTTAATTCAGTCCTTCAACTTTTTTAAACGTTAATGTGGTTATTTTTAAATACATGGCATTGATGTTTTTTTATGTGTCGTTTT